GTTTGAGGTTTAGCGTGCAGACTTGAGGGTTTGAGATTTCGGGTCTAGGGTTAGGCTTGAGGGTGTAGGCTGTAATATTTGGGTGCGCGTGGAGCAGACAGGTTCGTTCTGGATGTCCACTGTGATACAGGGCCGGAGTGCCATTAAATCCTAGAAGCACTCAGATAGGCATCCCCCTCATCTGCACATTATCCTCTGGAGCCGAGATTCGACTGCTTAGGAAAATCCTGCGCCGAAGTCTGAGTCCCGCTCACTACATCTGTTCCTTGCTGTTGTTTTCCTTGCTAAGGAGTATCCTTCAAGCTCGTCTGCTGTCGTCTACAACTACGACGACTACTACCACCGCCGTTGCTACTGCTCTTTGATTCTGTTATGGCTGCTGTTAACTGTTGTGTGTCTATTACTGAGTAGTAGGTGCCCCAAGCCCTGAACCCGTCCACCCTAAACTTCAACGCCCCGAAATTGCTGGGCCCTGAGTCTAACGCAGCTTTAGTCTTATTCATTCCAGCTGCTCTACTACTCTATACCGTCACATAGCATGCACAATATAATCTACAGTTGTTTTACTCTAAATCCTAAACCCTAAAACTGCCAGGTCATTGCGACTCATCCCGATCTCGAGGATAACAACGGCACTACGCCGGTGAAGATCACCTGGGATCACCCTCTGTGGTCTGAGCCTCGAGTTTCGAAGGTGTACCTAGAGGTTCATGGGTAGTTATCAGTCCCCGAATATGGGTTATTATTACAGTTAACCCACTTCTAAATCCGCTTATAAACTATCCATGAACCTCCAAGTAGACTTTTTCGGGGCTTTGGGGTTTAGGCTAGTATCCGGCTTCAGTTGGAGATAACAGTCTTTCGCTTGTGGGTGAAGGGTTGAGGGTTTAGGGTCTAGGGTTTGAGGGAAGAGACGGTTAGAGAATATAGGGTTTAGGGTCAAGGCCACTTAAATGGAGGTGGATGTTGGGACAAAGTTGTACATGCGCTAGCAACCTCGAGTCGCAAGGCTTGTTGCGGTCGCTTGAAGCACGGCCATGTGATTTTCTTCCACCAGTGCTAGCACGGAGTTGAAGGGGAAGCTGTTGCAAGATTAGCTTGGGGCTCCAGTCTGAGCGGGTCATCCCAAAACCAGAGCCCATCTTTGAACCAAGTGGGAATGGGGTTTGGGTTAGGCTTCAGGAATTTGGGGTACTAGGGCGTTTGGGGTGCTCTTGTTCAGGGTAATGGGTGTATGGGAAGGTTTCGGATCTGGGTTTGCAGGAACTAGGATTCAGTCCCTGAGTTGATGATGATCAAGAGCATCAGTTAAGGTGACCCTATCACACTTCTTTCGCAACCATTGAGAGGGCCTCAGCAACTACAATGGCACGAGTACGACATTGTGCCGCACAGACCTCCCTAAACCCTAAATCTGTATACGAGATCCCGAAAGCCTTTTTCTTTTCATTCCGAAGCGTTTCAGGGACCTGTGCTTTAGCCGCACTGTAGCACAGGAGCCTCACCATTGTGTAACTTCACTCGCTCATCATCCGTCCTGGGGGGGGGTTCCTTAAAGGGTTCCTTAAAGGGCTCCTTAAAGGGATCTGGGTTTTAGGGGTACTTAGAGGGGTCTTTTGGGTTTAGGAAGATAGCATAAACCGAGGAGCCGCAAAAGCCTTCTGCTGGTTTTGGAGGCTTCCCTGCAAGCCTGCGTCTAAAGCCTCGATTGTCTAAACCCGAAGTACACAGATCCATCTTATTTTGGCTACCTCCAACACGAAGCCCCGAAATCAACCTTCTGTCCCCGCCCCAAACCCTAAAACCCTAAACAGCCCTAAACCAATAACCCTTAACCCCTAGATCCGTACACCCACAAACCTTAAACCCTGCATGAATCTGATATTCAGGTCCATCTTCATGGGCGTGGAGCACGAAGCCATCCACCTCGAGACCAGCTCTGTGCTCTTCCGGGAGACGCCCAGCCACCTGATGCAGGTGGGCGGCGCCCAAGCCGATGCCCAAAAGACAAAGCCTAAAGCTATAGACGACACCATGTTAAGAAACTCTAAGCCTAACAGCCCGAACATCTAGCCAAAACCCGGGCGGTATTGAGGATGAGGGTTCAGGGCCTAGGGTCTTTAGACCGTTTTGAGTTTGGGGCTTTTGGGTTCGGGTTGAGAGTTCAAGGCCTTGTAGCCCAATTTGTCATGTCCATTGTTGCCTTCAACAAGTTGAAGGCATCCGAAAGCCGTACTCCTAAATCCTACACCCATCCTTTTTGAGCCGCGATGAACCACCCGACCCTAACCCTGAACTCTTGAGCTTGAACCTCGTCTCGATTAGCAAGCAGTGGATGATTTGACCGAGCCACGCCCCAAAGCACGGCCATGTCAGCTTTACCATCGAAGCGTCAAATGGGTCTCGAGATTAGCCACGTACCACCACGCGGCATGGCAGACGTACTGGAAAAGGGCTCTGTCCATCTGTCGTCAAGGCACAGCTACAGTAGCTACAGTGGAGGATCAGGATGAATTACAGAGCAACACCTATCCAATGCTTCTGCTGCACATTCTGGAATCATCTACAACGCTCGACACTGAGCCCTGGACCCGAAACTTACATCAGCAACCTGAAACACCAATCTTCACCCCTCAACCTTAAACAGCCCTAAACGCCCTAAACTTTCAAATCCATAACCCGAAGCCCTAAACACTCCCAAAACCCTCAAATCCATAGCCCTTCGCATGAAGATTTGAATCCCGAGCAGCCGCCCCTGCGGGCGCCGCAAGGTCCCTGCATCCTGGCCTGGGCTCTCTCCTCAGCTTTCGGCTTTCTTGCGGCTTTCGGGTTGAAGGTGTTAGGGTTTAGGGTTTAGGGCTTTAGGGCTTCTGGTTGAAGGTGTGGGGGTGGAGGGATTTGCTCTGAAATTATAGGGTTTAGGTCTTTTGACATGTGGGACTGGGGGAGCTGTCTCTTCACAGGGGCCTTTGCTTTGGAGACCATTCCGTCTGCGACACTTTGGAAACCCTGATGCGCCGGCTTTGTCACGGAAATACTCGTAAACAAAGACTCGATGTTCGCATGCAATGGCAATACGAATAGCAAAAGAAATGGTAATGCTCCTCGTAATAGTCCAGTTGTCGTCATAATAACATGAACAATATAAATAATATACATAATGGAAATAAAATAAAAAGTAGTAATGGTATTCAGACTATTCAGTAATTATAACAGTAGCAACAGCCCCTTATAGTCCCCGATGCCTTTACCGAGGCTGCACCCGTCGAGCCTCCAGTCGGCCCGTGAAGCCGGCGCAGCTTTTGCCGTCCTTGGTTTCTGCCCTTCACCTCGCAGCCTACTGGGTTTAGGGCTTTTGGGGTGTTTAGGGTTTTCAGGGCTTTTAGGGTTTGCAGGGTTTAGGGTTCATGGGTTTAGGGCTGGGCTTAGGGTTCAGAACCCTAAGCCCAACCCTAAACCCATAAACCCTAAACCCTACAAGCCCTATCTATACAGTAGAACGTAGGGTTTCTAGAGTAGGATACGCAACCATGTCACCTCCATCACAGCACCTCGGACCCTTTGGGCAGGATTTCCGCCCCAAGCTCTCAAGTCTAAGCCCTAAGCCCTAAACCCTAAACCCTAAGCCCCAAACTCGAAACCAGGAAGTCTTCGGCCGGAGGTGGGTCAGGAGCTGCAATGAATCTTGCTGTGACGGTGGTTATCACGAAGGGCTTGAGGAGAACACCGCACCTCGGATCCCTGAACCCTTGGCCCTTGGCGCCAAAAATAAACCCAATGGCTTAGTGGCTTCTAGTTTACAGCTCTAGGTTTGGGTTGAACGTGTCGAGGGTTTTTGAGTGCAGAGTGAGCATTTGTTTTGGTATGCCTGTGCCCACTCAGAGTAATCTTATGCTAATGGATCCCTAATTACACCAACCAGCAAGTCTATAAACCCGGGATATGAAGCTTACTTCATTTAAGTCAGGATTTTGGTGCAGGGCTTCGGGGCTTATAGTTTCAGTTCTTTGACGGCTCCTCACAGCTGTTGTTCAGTGGAGTCGATGTGTTCATACAGACGTGTCATGATAGCACCAAGTGTACTTTATCGGCAACGTTTGTTTAAGGATCCTATACGGATGCCTTATGTTGCGAAACACAATTCCATGCTGTGAACTGTAAGTTCCACTCCATCGCTGCCACTGTCGCAGTCCTTGATCCAAAGCGCCCAAAGCTCCCAAACTCTAAACCCTGAACCCTTATCACCTTTGACGAAAAGACCCTAAACCCAAGCCCCAAACCCTGAGCCCTACACTCCAAACACTAAGCTCAAACCCTACACCCTAAACCCCAAAGTCCAAGCCCTAATCCCAATATACGTTGTCGTGTATATATATATATATATATATATATAATATGTATATATTATAATGTTGACTTCCTATTAATGACCCCTCCCTTGATTGTTTGCTGGCCCCGGGTGGGGGGATTGACTATTGAGGGGGGGTCGGTCGTCGCTTGATTTCTAAAGCTTGCTGTCCTTTTCCTGGCCTCTAAAGGCAGAAGAAGTAGCTAATTTTTTGTTCGGTTCCCGGCTAGGGGTTTCGTAGTTGAGGGGGGTTTATAATTGAGTTGCGGGGGTGGGGTTCTGTAATTGAGGGTACAAATATGAAGTCAACATTACAATTTGTATATGTATAAACACAGGTATTATGAATATTATGAATACTTATTCTAGTACTATAAATATTACACATGTCTACATATTATAAATTTTCTAAAATACAACAAACACGGAAGTCAACTGTGCATCTGGACGCCTTGGTTTCTCAGCGCCGAGCAGGTACTGCAGGCGGAGAGAGAACGGATCCGTCTTCCTCTTATCCGTCTTCAGAGTTTAGAGTGTAGGTTTCGGGTTGTTTAGGATATGGGGTTTAGGGCTCAGTGCTTAAGTCTTTCCACTCACAACACTAAGACCGGAGTGCACCTTGTCTCCGGTGCCGCCTTTTCATCCTTGCGCCATGTCGAATACCTATGTGGATGCGTTCATGACGCTCCCGACTGTCTCGGCAGTGAAGCCCGAGTTGCCGGCTGATGATGCCAAGGACTCGGTTGGATCGGAGCCGATTAGGCTTTAGGGCTCAGGGTTTAGGCAGATGTGGCTCAAAGCCAGCAGCCCGATTCCAGGCCCAGACGAAACGAGCGTTGATCCGTGTACGGGTGGACTACACCGAACAGGGGAGGCATAGGGTTTGCTTGGTGTAAGAAGTAGCTCAGGGAAGGGACAAGGGTGTAGTCAGAACATGCAAGGCTGCAGTGATGCCACGGAGGTGCATGGCGCACGAAGGTTCTGAGCAATCGATCCCGTCCCGGTGACAACAAAGGCAAAGCCCCTTGAACCAGTTCATCGTACACGTATACGGTATATATTACACCCAGATGTAGCTACGTGCAGGTCTCGTTGGAACCAGTGAAAACTCTGACGCATCCTACTTACTTTGCCAGGGAGAGCCGAGAAGCACCGGAATTCCTCATGTTACGTTGGCAGTCTTCATACTCTTCTTCGTATTGGTACTCTTCTTCTAGGTGGTATTGGTATTATCATCGTTGTTATTTCGTCTTCTTACTCTTCTCATTGTTCGTGGTTTTAACCGTGTTTTCACCATTCTTCTTGCTCGCCTTCTTCTTCTTCTTTTTCTGATTCTTGGTCTTGTTCATGTTCACGCTCATGATTCCGACTATCATTGTTCTCACAAGAGAGCGTGCCACACATATTGCGGTTCTTTGTATCACTGCGATCCTTTTCGTTATAACGAGCCCTGAGACCTGGGTATAGAGGTTTGCAGACTCAGCAAATACATCCCCAGCTATGAAAGGCCCCTCTATGAACGCCTCATTCCCCGGGTAGCCCAGCACCCAAACCCCAAAGGCCCGAGACACCGAGACCTTCACTTCCTAAGCTCCGGCGGCCCCGATGAAACCTGCGCCCTGGACATTAAATCCTAAGCCGCCCTAATTGAAAAAAAAAAAAAGCCGCCCTAAGCCCTAAACCCTACAAAAATATCCGGGAGGATCCGACCCAACTGCTTGAATCGTGGAGAGAGCATGCGTCGAAAGAGCGAACGGCCAACTCCTCAAAAGAGTGCCTAGGTGGCACGTTGGGAGACCTTTAAATATTCCCCTACGGTGCCTATAGACCTATATATGTAGAGGTATCTACTCATACATACCTTTAGGAAACTTTAGGCGCCCCAAAAACTACAACCCAGGTGACCTGAGATTGTTTGGAAAAGTTCTGCTTCTGTATGCTCTCTTCAGGTTGTACGGTGGCTTTTTCAAAGCAGTGGAATCATGTGCGGGTCTTCCTGATGAGAATCCTTTATTTGCCTGCCCTAAAGAATCAGAGTGTGGGTCAGAGAATGTGGTTCAGGAATTCTGGTTAGGAATTTAATTCTGGAGTTTCGGTTTCTGGGGCTCAGACGCTTGAGATTACGACGGGCTATAGTTGAGGCTGTACCGTGCAGAAGATTTCGGGTGTCGTTTGGTGTTTCCTGTCGAAACATGTCAGCTGCAGGAAATTGCAGGAACTTTAACAGCAGCAGAGGCCACCAACAAAGGACCCCTAACACTAGGAACCTTGACGCAATAGTTTTAGCAACTACCATTGCGACCAGAAAGTTGTTTGTAGGTTTTGCGTTGGGTGGTTGTATTAGTTCGTGCAAGCTTTGCTGTCTCAGTTTGGGGTATATGCTTGTGGAGCTTGCAGCACCCCCAGCCCTTGACCCAAACTACTACTATCTATGCGTGTCTCACATTTTGCCACCACTCTTCGTGTCCCGCTCTCTCTCTTGCTCATGAGGAGCTTCTCTCGCTCAGTGTTTTTTCTCGTTCTCTTTGGTCCAGTCATATTTCGCCTTGAACCTGCAAGATCTGCACATTGTGGAAGACGTCTTGCAATCTTGTGCCTTAGGAGATTTCGGTGTGGTGTGCGAGCTGCTTTCCAAGCGTTGCAAGTGGTAGGGGAACTCCGTAGGAAATCCTGCAGTTCAGCAATGGCTCCATTGCTATGCCCTCATCGCCCACCTCGGGATTCGGGGAGGGCCCGTCATCGCCCTCATTGCCCTCCTCCGGGCGTGGCGGCCTCATCGTGGTGGGGCTTAGCTTTCATCGCCCTCATCGCCCTCATTCCAGGCATTTTTCTGGTGTCTTCAAAGTAGGTGTTCTCACTATATAAGAAAGGGTGTGGGGGTATGCATATTTGCTAGGTCGTCTTCGTAAGTGTGGTGTTTGGTCACAGTTTCCTCTGGGTCGTCTTCGTAAGCATGGTGTTGGGTGCCAACCCTCTCCCAACCCTTCCCAACCCTCTCCCCCTCTCCCAACACTCCCACTCCAACCCTCTCCCAACCCTCTCCTCCCCTCCCAACCCCCAACCTCCTCCCAACCCACTCCCAACCTCCCAAACCACTCCCAAACCTCCTCCCAACCCACTCCCAACCTCCTCCCAGCCCTCCTAACCTCCTCCCAACCCACTCCCAACCTCCTCCCAACCCACTCCCCAACCTCCTCCCAACCCACTCCCAACCTCCTCCCAACCCACTCCCAACCTCCTCCCAACCCACTCCCAACCTCCTCCCAACCCACTCCCAACCTCCTCCCAACCTCACTCCCAACCTCCTCCCAACCCACTCCCAACCTCCTCCCAACCCACTCCCAACCTCCTCCCTCCCCCAACCCACTCCTCCCAACCCACTCCCAACCTCCCCCAACCACTCCCAACCTCCTCCCAACCCACTCCCAACCTCCTCCCAACCCTCCCAACCTCCTCCCAACCCACTCCCAACCTCCTCCCAACCCAACTCCCCAACCTCCTCCCAACCCACTCCCAACCCACTCCCAACCTCCTCCCAACCCACCCCCAACCTCCTCCCAACCCACTCCCAACCTCCTCCCAACCCACTCCCACCAACCCTCCTCCCAACCCACTCCCAACCTCCTCCCAACCCACTCCCAACCTCTCCCAACCCACTCCCAACCTCCTCCCAACCCACTCCCAACCTCCTCCCAACCTACTCACTACCTTCCAGTCCAAGCCAAACACCCTCCAAGACACACCTCAAGCCAAATTCGCTCTGCCTTCTTCCGGATGCAGGTCCGAATTCTTTTTGGGCAAGTAGCGGGGTCGTCTTCGGAAGGGCGGTTCGGGTTTCCTTAAGAATCCGGGTCGGCTTCGGGAGGGGCCCAAGTGCCGATTTCAGCAGTTATCTTCTTTAGTGCTCCCAACCCACTCCCCAGCTGCTCCCAACTACATAACTCCCAACCCACTCCCCAAGCTCTCCCCAGCTGCTCCCGAAGCAATCATATCGCGGAGGCATCCTCTTATTTACTGAGAACACCTCCGCCGTAGACACCAGAAATATCCCCTGACTCATCCCTTTCATGCCATTCAAACCAGTGCTGGATTCATCTCCTTCGTGACTTTGTGCTCATCCCTTCCGGAAACCAGCAGGGTCCAAGCCGTGCTTTGTAACAGAATCACTGAATAACAGGATCTTTATCATAGTTAGCATAGGGCCTTGAACACTAGCACCCCAAAGAGATAGAACCGTATCCCTTAACAGGACGACCCCTCCTCTAGGCGCGCCGTCGGGCTTTTCGACGACCTTGAGTCAGTTCTTGACGGCTCCTCATCGCGCAGCTTGGAGAGCACAGAATCGGATGGGTGGTTAATGTTTTAGGGTTTATGGTGTCGGAGTGTAGAGCGTAAGTTTTGAGCTTTTCTGGATTAAGGGTTTAGTGCTTAAGGTTTTGGGTTTTTAAGGCTTTGGTGTAGTGGTTGAGGTTTAGGTGTAATGTAGCAGCCTGATTAAGAAGCACGCATTTCCTGTAGGCCTTCTACTATGGACCCTGCTACAGTATTTGGGAGTCGAAGCCGGCCAGGGGTTTTGGATTCGGGGTTTAGAGACTGCCGCAGAACTCCTAGCTTTGTGCAGAAGACTCATGTGATTCGGATCCCTCTGTTTCGCATGCCCGGGAACCCGGAAGCAATGTCAAGAGCGAGAGTTATTACAATATATTGCTTTATATTACATGATAATACAATATAATACATTATATTTTACTATATTACATTATAGTACATTATATTACAGTATACCAAAGGCTTACATGTAGGATTTGCGAGACACGCGGCAGGCTTCTGGTTAGGGAGGGTTGGTAGCCCTGAGGCAAGAGCCTTTCGGCACCACCAATAAAACCAAGCTTGCGATTCTTTCCATCCTATGTTAATTGCTGTTAATTGGGTGGAGGTTTCCTGCATAGGTATGCAAGCTTTCGATGTTCCTGAGGAAGGGTTCGTCTTGACATCAAGTGATACTGGAAGGCTCGACACCTCCACCACCCTCAACCTTACACCCTCACTCTTGTGACTTACCTTTGGTTAGTAGGGAACGGAGGAATGGGGTATAATTATAACTACTATTACTACCATTCTTCCATTCCCTAGTAACCAAAGGTACGGTGAGGATTGTCCGATTCCCGGGCAAGAGTTCAGACAATGGGCTCGGAAGCGGGCATCTGAAACTGAGACGTTCCCCTCAACGCCGGAACAGAGGGCTCGGAAAGCCAACAGTAAGAAACGATTCCAAATTTTGTTATTTGTCTTCATTGATCTCCTGCTTAGAGATGGAACACCATTGATCTCCTGAAACGACAGTCCTTCATGAAACTGGGCCAGCGCCGGGAGCAGAGGGTCAAACAGGGGCGGAGCGACTTAAACAGCCGTAAGTCCTCAACCCTACGCTCAAACCGTAAGTTGTAAATCCTGAAGCCCAGACCCTCAACCCTTGGCACTTTAAAAAAAAAAAGACCCTCAACCCTAACCCCGGTTCCGAAGATCCTCAAAGTGAGCTCCGATAGTCTGGAGCCCCTGTGCAGTGGAAACAGGCATTCAAACAAGACCTACTTAAGGATGATGCAAGTGATATAGGGGCCTTGATACTTAGAATAGGGTTTTGCCCATCCTATTATACGTATAATCAGGAACCCACCCCAAAAAATAGTAAATAACATGTTTAGGGCCCCTATACAAAATCACACCGGCTTAGGAATTCAGACCCTGGCCCACCAGCTGGTGGAGGACTCGAGGGGATCCTCTAAGGGTTCTAGAAGAGTTCCGTTTAGGGCTCCTTTATCTTGGTTTTTCGTCAGTTTTTGATAGGGGTTTGGGAGTTTTGTTACGGTGCCGCTGGGATTTACAGGCTTCGCGCATTTTTCCTGTCCAGATTTAGGATTTGAGGGTTTTTAGGGATTCGGGGCTTGGGGTCTTCAGACCTGCCTCCCGTAGACCCGAAATCCAAAGCTTGAAGTTAAATTGGAAACCAAAGACCGTGACTTGCTCAGGGCTTCGAAGCCCGATTCAACTGGGGTTTCCGATCTTCTTACTACCAGGCATCGTCGGCAAGGCAGCCTCAAGCACGCCAGTTCAGAGTGTGGGTTCTCGTGGGGTTTATGTAGCTGAAGGTTTCTGGGCTCATATGCTGGAGTGAAACAAAGCCCCGACACCAGCCCGACAATTCGCTGCGAGATTCGACTGCCAAGATCCCAGACTCTGAAAGCCCACCACACAACCCACACCGCTTCGTTTTCAGTATGCGATTTGGAGTTCGGTGTCAGGGATTCATGTTTTGCGGTTCTCCTGGCCTCAGGAGCACCAGCAGGAAGTCGGGACGTTGCAGAGGGAGTTGAAAAAGATTAAGTTTGAGTTGGCGGAGCCTTGGATCGTGTCTACAGTGCCACTATACCACTACCGCTACCGGTGCTGCTACTGCGGCGGCCACTGCTGCTGCTGCTACTGCTGCTACTGCTGCTACTACTGCTACTACTGCTCCTCCTGCTGCTCCTGCCCCTGCTCCTGCTCCGGCTCCTGCTCCTGCTCCTGCTGCCGCTGCTGCTGCAGCTGCTACGGCTACTGACGCGCAGACACGCAAACACGCAAGACACGCAAGACAGGCAGGCACCGTTGGCCGTTGACACGCCGAAATCCCTCAATGCTTTCGCCATAAGCCCGAAAGAGCAAAGATCTTCCAACAAAGAGAGCCAAGGACCTCGAGCTGGAGATGTGTGAGATGAAGTCCAGGAACGAAGATCTCGTAGAGGAGGTGAAGGGGCCTAACCTTCGTGTTTATGGTTTTTTTGTTCAGGTGCATCCCAAACCCCAATCCCCTAAACTCCCCTAAACACTAAACCCCAATCCCCTAAACTACCCTAAACACTAAATCCCAATCCCCTAAACTACCCTAAACACTAAACCCCAATCCCCTAAACCCTAAACCCCCCAAACCTTAAACCGTAATCGAACCCTGGTTCACTCCTTCCGAAGGTGAAAGTGGCAGAGAAGAGCCGGAGACATTCCGGTAAAGAATCGGTTGGCGCCCCGTCGTCGACGCCAGTGTCTAGGGGAAGCGTTGGGTTTGGAGTTGTAGGATTTTGGTGGTTTTGGTGGTGTAGAGAAGTTTTTCCTAAATGCGAAGACCTAATTAAGCCAGAAAACCGCAGGCCCGAATAATCCTTCTACGTACCCCAAACCCTCAATCCCTCAAGTACCCCTCAAGTGCCCTAACAGCTAAACGACTTAACCCCCAAGAGCACATGCTTTGGCCTGGACCGAGGCTCCAGTCGCTCAGCAACGTGCTCAGCAATCAGCCAATTTTGGTTGTAGGGTTATCGGCTTTAGATGGTTGAGGGGCTTCGGGTTTTGGGCTTCGGGCTTGGGCCTTTCAGCGCTTCTTGGTTCAGGTTTTAGGCCGGTAAAGCTTTAGGGATCTGTCCGACATGACGGCACAGCAGTGTTGGCTCATTGAGATGATGCGGCTGATCGAAGCGCTGATGCTCTTGATGTGGTGCAGGAGTAATTACTTATTGTCGGGATGCGTTATTGGCAACATGGAGAGGGTCAGACTCAAAGCAGCATAGGGCTGTCATCATAGACACAGAGGCTAGAGTCTAGAGCTGATAGTTTGGGTATGAGGTGACATGTTCTTGCGTGTTTCATGACGGAAATAATGAGGATCTACCGCCTCGGCACAGAAACCCAACCGCACCCAAGCTACCAGACCTTCACCCCTCTGAAGCTCACGTTAAGACCCGCGGACCCTGAGCGTTAAGCCCGGAATTCCAAGCCGTAAACCCTACGCCATCATTCAAGCCGTGCCCAAACCCAGGTAAAAAGCAAACCGCAACTGCAGCGATCACTATCTGCAGCTATGTGCAAGCACCACCAGGCTTCACTGTGGGATTCCGGGATACGCGTAGGCTATACAGCATGTATGTATACATATATATATATATACACACACACATACACATAGAGATGTATGTGCATATGTATTCATGCATACATGTCTACGTAAATATGCATATATTCATACATGCATATATGCATATATGTAGTATGTATATATGTATTTGTGTACATGTGCATATGTGTATATGTGCATATGTGTATATGTGTATATGTTTTTCTATACTTAGGTAACATGGGCCCAAACCCTCATCTAGTTATTAAGGCCTCTATATTATTCAAAGATTTCGACGGATGCACATAAGTGGACGGTTGCGGTTTTCTGAGTTCAGGCCGGTGCCGCCGCAAATTCGGTGTTGCCGTAGCGAGTGACATGCTATCTCCGTTTTGTTGATTCAACCCGGGTCGGGTAAATTCATGTTTTCCCTTGTTCGTGCACGGCTTCGTTAGAGACTTTGCCCTGTCTCTAGTACTACAGAGGCCTTGTTAATTACCCATACCTTATCATAATTATGGTATAATAAACCCCCCCAAACCCTTTCTACTTATTCAGGCCTCTGCAGTGTGCTTCCAGCGGTCTGATGTGCAACTTGTCACGGAAGGCCATCGACCCCTGAACCCTACAGCAAGAGGTCAGCGGAGGTTTATGGTCGTTTCGGGAGTCGTTTCGGGAGTGGCTACACCTGTGAGGTCTGTAAAGATTAAGACGCTCTTTTGTTGGAGGCTCTCCGAGAAGTGAATGCGGATGAGATCTTGGACGCCTTCGACATTAACATGAACGATTCAGAAGATGGCGATGTCACTTGCCAAGAGCTGGTATTTCTTGCGATGCTCTGATCTGTCAGCATTTCTCTTGTTCTTGTCATCTCTGTCGCGCCTCGCACTTCGTTCGTCGTCCACGTCGGTGACTGTTGCTGTTGCTGTTTCTGCTGCTGTGGCTCTGGCGTGGCTGTCGCTGTCGCCGTCGCTGTCGCCGTCGCTGTCGCTGTCGCTGTCGTTGTGGTCGTGGTTGTTGTTGTTCTGGTTCTTCTTGTTTTGATTGTGGTGTTCGTGGCCGTCGTCGTTGTCGTCGCCCTCGCCGTCGTCATCGTCGTGCTGGTGCTGTTGGTGGTGGTTGCCGTTGTTGTGGTTGTCGTTGTGGCTGTGGTTGTGGCTGTGTTGTTGTGCTGCTGCTGCTGCTGCTGCTGTTGCGGTTGCTGTTGCGGTTCCGGTTGCGGTTGCTGTTGCCGTTGCTGTTGCCGCCGACGTCGTTGTTGCTGGTGTTTTACTTGCCGACTAGCAGCTGACTAGCAGTACACGAGTGAGGACGAACCAACAGTTGTGGGTTAGTCGCAGCGCGCAGCCCAGGGCACACAGTCCATTGCGTCCCTCTTCAAGGATCCTGCTGTGGAGAAGCTCATGCAGACTCCCTGCGGAGATGAGATCGGTAGCATAGATCACAAGCTCGCCTATAATCCTGCACTGCATAGCGGAGAAAGCGACACGAGACTTGAGCATGATACCACACCCTGAGAGATCATCCATGCCAGCAGTTGAGGAAAGGGAACACCGGGTATGTGCAGCCCGAGACGGAGTCTGAACGGCTTAGACGATATGCCCAGATGACAAGGTTTCAGCGCCTGCAGGGGTGGCTGCAGTCCCACAAGCGGCTTGCTGCGTTCAGTGCGGGTGCGCCGGTCAAGGGCTGTGACGTGGCAGTTGTTGCGATACTCCTGGTCTGAGGTATGAGATGGTGATTGCTGGTGTGCTTTGCGTGAATGTCTTGTGGATGGCCTTCGAATTGCAGCTCAGTGGTTCCGACACCGGCTATCACATAGGCGCTCCTTGGATGACTTACCCAATCTGCTACAAGGTCCTGGAGGCAGCGTTCGGCTAATTAGTTCAAAAAATCAAAAAAACCTACATGCTAGATAAAGCCTCTGACTCCCGCTCTCCCTCGACAAAATCCGCGCTCGAAGACTACATCCTAAACCCCAAGCCCCAAACCACAAGCCAAGGTTGTAGGCTCACCTCCAGTTCCTGTGGGGACCTGGACAACTTGGACAGACGTTCTGGAGGTCGGCGACTTGATTTTCACATCGTTCTTCGTGCTGGACGTCGCGGTCCGAATCCTTGTGTTACAGAAGATCTTCTGGCAGGCCCTGATACTCCAACGTGCTCACTTTGTGTTGGTCAGTCGTAGGCCGCAGCATGAAGTCACCTGGCAGGTTTGGATGAACTATATCGACGTTGCCGTCAGTATCGCATCCCTCATTGAGGTGCTGTAGTTCAATTGAAGTTCTAGCTGTCTTCGGTACCCAAGCGCCATCGCGCCAATTTCTTCTCCTTCGGAGGGAGTGTTGTAATGGCATTTCGGAGCATCTACAGAACAGTGGCCCTCAAGAAACCTCAGAGTTTCGAGCTGAGGGTATGACGATGCCACTGCTGAGACACTGAGGTCACTGTCTACCATGCAACGACTCTGCCGGTGAACCCGATCCTTTTCCGATTGGTGCGGATTGGAAAGCTTGCCAGAGCTATTCGGATGGTTACCATGACCAGTATGTTGCAATCCCTGCAGCTGCTGGTTAAGCGCCTCATCTGTCACAACGAATTGCAAGACCGCTTTTAGCCCAATACAACACTCAGCTGCCAAGCTCCAGTAGACTCCTTTAGCCTCTCATAGAAGCCAGGGCTGCCATCAAGCAGTTGCTGGATTTTCCTGTGAGGTGCTTGGGCTCCAGCATGAACATGCTCTTCTGGAGCTTTTGCTTGCTGACCTTCGTGCAGTGTGTGGCTGGACTTATTCTGAGTACACTCTGTCGGGACTTCCTCCTGGACGAGACGGCGGACCTAGACATCCGGGAGGAGGCTAGTGCGGCCACTGGCTGAGGGTGTAGAACCTAGGGCTTGGTGTATAGGATCATCTGGAAGTTGTTAAGAGACTGGGAGCCCTTCTAACTACCCATGACCATGTTAATTAATGAGAGGCAGAGGCTTGCGAGAGGTTGTATGTATATATGTATATATGGTCAGGCGTCTGGCGTTCCCAGCCCCCCCCACCCCCCCATGGTATGGTCTGACAGGGGTGGGGGGGGGGGGCCTGGCGTGTGCGGAAAGGGGTTGGGGGCCGTTGGAGCTGCCACTGGATGGTGGGGTGGTGCTGGCGGCCAGGGCTCACGCGCAAGCCTTCGCAAGCAAGCCGTAAACCCTGTGACGCAGCGCGTGCCCCTGTTTTGAGCAACCTTAACTTGTACTTTTAAAATGCTACACCCAACCCTAAACACCACCTAACTGCAGGCTCTAAGCCTAAAGCAGAGCATACACCGCAAATCCTCCCTAAGCCCTTGTCGACTCGAAGCCTTATACCTTGTAGCCGTAAACCCAAAACTCAAAAGCTTAAGCTAAACCCTAAACCCCAAAACCCCGCAACCACCCCACAGGGGAAGAGGAACCCCACACCCCACACCACAGGGGAGGGGGGGGCACCTTATATCCGGACCATTGACCTTTGGGGGGGGAGGGGGGGGGGGGCTGCGGAGCGCGTGACCATATATGTACGTGTGCTTGTACATTTGTATGTTTATACGTATACTTGTTTGTTTGTATGTATGTATGTATGTATGTATTTATGTATGTATTTATGTACGTCTGTACGTATGTGCGTATAGGTATCTATGCACATATATTTACCAAAAACATACATATATACATTCAAAGACTAAAGAGATGCAACGAGACAGAGAGAGAGAGAGAGAGAGAGATACGCACATACACCTACACACAAACACACACACACACACACACACACATATATATATATATATATATATATATATATATATATTGTTATATATACACACACATACAGACATAATATACAATACAGGCCAATACAAACACTATACAATGCGCTAAATACAAGACAATCCACTGCAATGCAATGCCATGCGATACTCTTGCTTACACTTAACTGCTTTCTTGCTCGCTCGCTTGCTTGCTTACTTATACATATAGTATACATATACATATACCTATACATAGACATGTACATATATACTATGCACACACGCGCACACACACAGACACACAGACACACAGACACACAGACACACAGACACACAGACACACAGACACACAGACACACAGACACACAGACACACACACACACTCTCTCTCTCTCTCTCTCTCTCTCTCTCTCTCTCTCTGTCTCACATTCGCACATACTCTCGCTCTCTCTTTCTCTCTGGCTCTCTCTCTCTCTCTCTCTCTCCCTCCTTTTCCCGTCTGTCTCTATGCGCGCACATATATGGTCAACAGAAAGACATGTTCACGTAATCTTCGTGATCGCTGCCCACATCATAGTCGCCATGGTTGCGGACATCATCATGTACAATCTGGAAGCATTGCCCCGTATTTTTTGCACTCGTTCTCACCGTTGCGCCCTCCCGTGCTGCTGCCTTGCTCGTGCTTTTTTTGTCATCTTTGTAGAACTGCTTGCATAGCTTGACACTGTATCAGCACGCTGCTTTCTCTGCACTGCAGTCTGCAGTCCCTCGTAGTAGCCGTTGTACATGCATTATTCACAGCAAGTATCCCTAGACTGTTTTGCGCATCTTCATCCAGAACATTGTCACTAGACCCTCGCTATCGTGCTTGGCAAGGTCCCGTTTCTGCGTGGGATGCATCATACCCCCACAGGCAGCAAACAAGCGAGCCTAAATCCAAAACCCTAACCATCACTGCGCTCAAGTCTGAAGCTTGTGATCGGCAGGTGTTCCGGTATTACGGTACCTTCAGCCGGACGTTTCTGACCATGTTTGAAATCCTCTTCGCGAAGATTGGCTCAGGGTTTAGGGAAGTTTAGGGTGGGTCCTGTCGTATCACAACTTTGCATGGCGATTTTCGGGCCCGGATCTCTTCGCTGCGGCAGGAACTGTATAATATAGAGGCCTACATAATTACCAATTCCATTGGGGGCTTCCTTGTTACAACTACAGTATCATATACCCCAAAAGACTATTCTAATGGTTAAGGCCCGTACATTACAGAGCTGTTTGAGTTGTGCTTGGTGTTTCCTGTTTGATCTAGGAACAGGACCGTGTGTACAGTTCTTGCTTTGAATTGGAGATTTGGTAGTTTTCGAGAATGGGAGACCCTAGCACAGGATCCTCAATAATAGGATCCATATCATTCATTATAAGGACCCCGAAATAAAGTACCCCTAACCTAAGTTTCGGAAACCCCCATTTGGCAACCAAGGAACTGGGGACCACCATGTCGAGTTCTCGTGGATCAGTACAGCGAGTGGTTCACGCTGTTTTTCCTCACTTATCGCTGTGTCCTGGGATTTGCGGTTCCTCGGTTGGCAGTAGGAGCAGAAACACAAGGAGTAGCTCAATGGGCACTAGTTGTGATAGCAAGTTATCTCCACATTACTTGGCATGGTTATCAATTTCATGTAGTTTTTGGCATCCTGGTTGCCAGCTAAAGACTCCAGTGCTGGGTGAGGGAGGAAGTAGGATGCAGCAAATGGCCTGGCACCAGACCTCGTTTGCACCATCCCACAAGGTCCTCAATGTCGTCAATGCAGTCTTCGTTCAACAGACGATGAAGACCGCCAGCTCTGATGAAGAGCTTGCTTTCAAGCAGAAGGAGAAGGACGATGATTTGGATCACGAAGATAGAAATCCCACTCCCCACTGGTATCCGTGCGTTTGTCTCGTGCCACATGCTGAGCTGGTTGCTGTTGTGGGTCAGGACACAGCATCCTACATCAGAAAAGTTAAGCATCCTGGCCAAAAAAAAAGTGCTTTTGGACGGTGGCCAGCGTGTGATCGTGATACGACCCAGCCGAGGAAACTTTTCCAAACAGTGGATGCATCAGGAGATGGTGCGATTAACCTGCAGGATTCGTGACAGCGATTACGGACTGACTAGTGGTTACGGCCGACCTTTCCTGCATTGCGCAACGCTGCGTGATGTTCAGCCCTACCCTTCCGGCGGCGACCTTCTTAGTTTTGGGTTGCAAGCAGGTAGCTCGTTCAAGGTTGCGGGTTGAGGGCTTCAGTCTTCGACTTGAGACCGGGTCGTGACTTGCTAAGAACTAAACACTAAACTCGAAGCCCTAAACCTCGAAACTTTAGCTCCAAAAACATGCTCATTGTTGGTATTGTTGAAGTAGTATAATTCTTGGTAGTATTGTTATCAGTGTTGTTATCACATGTTTGGCAGCACACCCTCTGTACATCGCGCTGAGGAGTTTTCCAAGCTCGTGCAGTCGCCGAAGCTGAAGCATCTCCACCTGAATTAGGTTATAGGGCTGTCAGCATGCACCCCGAACATCAAGTAACAGTATTCCTGCGTCAGAGAAGATATCCATACAATTCAGTCAAGACCCAGATTGGCTTCAAAGGTTCTTTGTGAAGATGCTTGGCCTGATAAAGACCCTAAGCCGCTAACCCTAAGCCCCAAGCCCTTAAATGGGGTGGTAATCAAGAATTTCAAACCCGAGAATTTCAAACCCGAGACATCCCGAGACAAGCGCAAAACCCTGTCGGGGCCTCTGAGTTCGCAGCGATTGAGGGTTTAATTTAAGGCTTCTGGAGCGGTCAAAAGGTACTTGAAGGCCCCTAATATGGGTTGCAATTATAGTTACTACTACCCTACTTATAACTCCACTTATAACTACCCAGCTCAGGGTAGTGTAAAAGGCTCTCGGATTAAAGGTTTGGGTTTTGGGTTTTCAGGTCAGCTGCCGGGCGCGCGTTTGTGTTCCGGTTCGAGGTTTGTGTCCAGCATTTACAATTCGGGATTCGGGGTTGAAAGGTGTTGTATTATGGTGTTTCGAGTTGCTGTCATGTCTCACTTCTCTGGCTACACCAAGGGTTAGGATTGTTCGGCAATCCAATTTCCGATGTCCTTCTCTTGGAAGTAAGTTTGCGTTGCTTTGCGAGTATTTTTCTTGGAAACTCAATTCGACAGGCTCGAAAACTCTGTTGTTACGCCACATCATTGACATCCTAGACCCCCAAATTTTACTAAAACTACAACCAAAGCCCGAAAGCCCCTGCCCCACACCCTACCCCCCCCCCCCCCCCCCCCCCCCCCCCCCCCCCCCCCCCCCCCCCCCAGCCCTGCGCCCAACAATTTCTCGTCCAAGCATCCACTTGATCTCAGGTTCTGGCTCTCGCAGTTGGAGTTGGAATACCATGACATGCTGTCACTGTTTGAGCCACTCGTTGTGATTGAAGGTAATGTAGGGTGCGCTTGGGGCTATTCCGGCCATTCAGATACAGCCAAACTCCGAATCCTTCAACTCTGGCCCTAGAAGTGTGCGACTGATCCCTGGTATCAACAACATGTCCATCACAGAGTCCAAACCAAGAGCGAGCTTGGCAATGACTCGCCCATTGACGGACCGCATCATGTGGTCGGTCGCTTCATGAGCGCTTACATAGCTGAGATACAGTTTTGCTTTTCCGTCCTTCTTCGCAACATTCCGGGAACCCTCCGTGGCTTCACCGAGGTTCTTGGATAATGGCGACGGTGAGATCACTCTCATGGAGTTCGTGGAGGGTGCTCCATGTCTTTCCACAGATCCAGGTGATAATCCCAAGCCCGAAACCCCGAAATCTTCAAATGACCCAAGCACCCGAGCCTTAAACCCAAAACACAAAGCCACGCTGTTTTAGCAGGCCTCAGCCATGAAAGTCTGCGAGCCGTCAGGTCCCGGAACGCCCCCCAAGGCCCCAAACCAGTCCCGCGGCTCATCAACCCAGAAGATGGTCGGTTTGGGGTTGAGGGCTTACTGTAGGGCCTAAACCCGGACGACTCGACCTTAGACTTTGAATCAACGGCACCGCCGGCATCACCATCACCATGAACATCATTATCATCAGTCACTGTCACCAGCCCCAACCATCACGGTCTTCATCATCGTCGTCATCATCATCGTCGTCATCAATATCTTCGTCATCATCGCTCTCCTCCTCCTCCTCCGCCTTCTCCTCCTCATCATCGTCATCATCAGGAGCATCTAGCCATCATTCTTCGTGGTCGACATCACCGTCATCGTCATCGTCGTCGTCATCTTCGTCGCCGCGTTATCGTGATCATCGTCTCGGCCATCGGCATCAACGTCACCATGGTGATCATCAACATCATCATCGTCAGCACCATCATCTTCGTAGGTTCTTCTGTATCATGTTTAAGCCCCCGCCAACTCGAAAGATCTTGAACCCACGTCTCTCAGCAGCAAAAACGAGGCTTCGCGCCTCCGCGGAAACGCCAAAACCTTGGACATATGGCGTGTTGAGACCAAGCTCGAGGCTGTTCGGGTTTCGGGTTAGGGGTCCTGAAGGATTAGGTTTTCGCCTAAATCCTCGACCCCGGCCCTGAAAACAAAAAGCCTTATGTACACCCTGAAGCTTAAACTTGGGGTGTCGACTTTGATTAAGAGTCTCGGCTTGTTGTGTTATGGCGTTGGGCTTAACATGGTTCAGCTGGCAGCATTTCTCACGGCTCGAAAGAGCACAGACTTCTGCTCGGAATTTACAGGTGCCGTGTGAGGGTGACCTCCTCCATTGGCATCCTTCTGTGTTGGGCGCCCACTGCGCTTTTTTGAACATTCAGGCTTGACGGCTTTAGGGCGTCAAGGTTGAGTGTTTCAGGGTTCAGGTGTTCAGGAGTTCCCACACGAGTCGTCCAACTAAGCATCCATCATCAGCAAGGAGTCCTCAGGTGGCTGGAACTGAACCTTGCACATCGTAAGCTCCAACTTCAGCCTCAAGCCAACCCCTGTTTCAACTCCAACCCTAGCTCGCTAGCTCGCTAGCCAGCTAGCTAGCTATATACATTCATGCATGCATGCATACATACCTACACATGTAGGTTAAGTAAGACATACGTGACACATCATGTTTGCATATACATATACATATGCACGTACACACTTACTTGCATACATACACGCAGTGCATATACACGCATACAGAGTGCGTATATACAGCCATCCATCCATCATTCCAGCCAGGCAGCCAGCCAGCCATCCAATCATCCATGCATGCATGCATGCATGCATGCATGCATGCACATATACATATGTTTATGTATACAAGTCGATGTACAGGCGCATCAGTACAAGTTGACACACATGATGCATATACATGTACATCTACATCTACACATACATATAAGTATACATACATCACATCGTCCTTGTGGCATGACTTTGGGAGGTGCTCTTCGAGGAGGTTCTGAATGCCTTGCGTCCCGGCGGGAGCTTTCATCAAGACTCCGGCATGTCGCATATCACCAGTATCTCGGCCGGAGGTTCAGGTTCTTGGTTTGGGTTGGGCTAGCGAGTATGGTAGTTGGTTGCTATGCAGTGGCCGGTAGGACGGTTATGGTGTTGTTCTCAAATAGGGTCTTCATTCGGTCATGTATTGCTTTATACATTGCTGGGTTTAGTGTTTGAGGGTTTCGGGTGTGGGGATTTGAATTCAGAGATTCATGTGTTAGGCCTGGGAGGCACAAGGATCGGATCGTGGCATTTTCCCGGAAGGCTACATCGTCTGCAAGTTCTCACGAATGCCAGCCAGGGCTTGGGGATGTTTGGTCTGTGCGTTCAGGGTCTGAGAATATTTTATTTACGCATACTGTATGCTTTCAATGCGATTTAAGGACCAACCAGATAGTTACCACAAGTAAGGGCCTCTTCGGAACTCCCATGCGAAGTACCTGAATTTTCAAAAATCCAAAACTCCAAGCCCTGGCACCGAGCCCTTAAAGCCGCAGCTAGTACCTATCGAAACCTTACGCGGGGCAACAGCCACCAGCCCCTCAAAACCCGAGCCCCCGAACCCTAAACCCACCCAAAAGCACTCCGAGTCCTAAAACACCAAACCCCTAGCCCCTAAACCCCACAACCCGAAGCCGTCAACCCCACACATAGAACAACAAAGCCCGAGCATTCAGAACAACAGCCTTCAGATCCAAGAGCCCACAGCAGTACTCTGCGTTCTTGATTGCACTTGTAGTATAATCTATTCAAATCACAATTGCAATAATCGCTCCCGCTCTTCGATTATCTAGAACCCCTTTAAGATAAGCCCACACCAACTCCGGGAGCCCGAGGTGTGCAGGACGTGTTTGATCAGTCTGGGCATTTCGGCGAAATCAAAAGGCATCTTTTTGGTTTTGACGTTTAGGGGTTTTAGGGTTTAGGGTCTAGTCCAAAGAAGCCGGGCCAAAACCCCCAACTCCTTTTCAGCTATAAGAGCACTTGGAGGTTCATGGGTAGTTATAAGATGTTATAAGTGGAGTTATAAGTAGGGTAACTATAGTTTTGACCCATGTTAAGGGGCTTATCACTCCAGTCAAAGCTACCCATGAGCCTCCAAGTAGGACCCTGCGAAGTGGGGTTCGAATTTAGAGGTCCAATACTTGGGGCTTGTTATTAATATTATTACTATTATTATTTTTTTTATTATTATTATTACTATTATTATTATTTTTATTATTATTATTGCGAACGGACTGCGATGCCTTGTCAAGTTCTAAGGTGTCACTATAAGAGCTGTGAGCATGACCGTGTAAAGTGCAAGAGAAGGGGGCACGCTACGCGTCCCTCGACTCTAAGGGGGCACGCTACGCGTCCCTCGTCTTTACCTTTCTATGTGACCGCCCACGCAACGTTTGGCTCAAGTCAATGCCCATAGCTAAGTGCTATAAGTGTCTTCTATCCTGAGCAATCAGAGCTATCCCGTTGCACAGACGAACCGCCGCCGGCAGTGAGTGCAAAAGGAACGGCCGCCGGTTCTGCCTGCATAGGATTGCACGTGTGGAAGTGTGAGAGAGACAGGGTCCAGTCTGTGGAGAGTGCAAGCCAGCCACACCTACATTCATTACAGCTCTGGTGGGGAGAGCAGCAACCTAGTCGAGATCAATCCCCCACGCAGGTTATCAGCCGTACGCGGCTCTGCCTTTCTACAGCAACGACTACTTGATCTACTACGACCACAATGAACTCGGGATCAAGCCAAGATACGACAATGACTTTCGGTGCCGATGTGGCAGCGCCAGCCGTTGGTGAATCAACAGCTGATGACACAGTGGTGCAATCCGTTGATAGCTCCACGGAAGATGACAAAGGTCAATCTTCTGCGCTTGCCATTGCAAAGGCAGTTCCCAAGGTGAAAGCAAAGAGTCTACCAAGAGCATCTACGCCTTCGCGTCCGACATCCACAGGTTCGAGGACGGGCAAGGCTCCAGAACGACGAGCCGAAGCGTCTGGTTTTCAGGCACCTCGGACTACGTCCAGGGCCAAGGACAAAGGAGTGAAGACCTTGGAAAAGAAGTCAAGACCATCATCTTCGAGAAGCTCTTCAGCACGATCAAGGACTTCGGTTACTCGTGGGCGTGACAAGTCCATGACTTGGAATCGGATGGTTACCAACCAACCACGCGATGCTGACGATCTGGATATGACTCTGGACACTATTCCAGCACGTGGTGATGCGTCATCGGTGGCCACGCCAGCCATAGCCGATGGTCCGAATGCTTATCAGGAGCTGACGATTTCGCAACAGTTCGAAGCATCGAACCTTGCGCAGCAGATGTACTATCGCAGTCAGATGCAAGAGTACGAAGGAGTTGTCCAGACCCTGATGGACAAGATCAAGGAGATGCAACAAGAAGATGAAGGATCTGGAATTCGCATCGAAGAATTGGAACGACAACGTGACCATGCATGCTTAGCCATGAGGCACATCAACAATGTCAATCAGGAGATGAAGCGAGACTATGAAACAGCTTTGTTTCGCATGGATGAACAGAACTCTGCTCAACAACGTCAAGCACATGCCGTTGCCGAGGAGTTAGCTCAACAGCTACACGTGTTCCGCACGGAAGCAGCCACTAACTTTGTGCAGTTGGAGGCAAGAGCGCAAGGCGATGGTGAGCTTATGGCACGTGAGTATGAGCGTCTGACTCATGAACTTCATGAACATGCCAGAGAGAACTTGTTCCTCCGGTCGAACACAGCAAGTTCGGAACAAGCCTTACAAGCAATGCAGGAACGATTCCACTTGGTCAAGAACCAGGAGTTGCGGGCCGTGAACGAGATCCAAGGGCTAGCTGGAAACAGCGCAGCCATTGATCAAGAACGACTTCGGCTTCGCGAACGTCTTGGTGAAGAGGAAGAGTACCGCAAAATGGCTGTGAGGAGGATGCAAGATGCAGAGGACCGACTTCATCAGAATGAAGATCATGCAAGGCGAGCACTGCCTACCTTGCACGACGAGCTGAGTGAACTCAGGAAAACACTCAAAGCACAAGAAGATCTTCAAGCGAGGACACGCAGTGAATTGGAGGCAGCGCGGAACTCCAACTATGGCGGAGCGACACGGCCTTCGAGCATGCCCATGTCTTCGAGGACTACTGAGTCTGGCTGGGAGCACGTAGGAAAGGAAGTAGTGCCTGCATTTTCCGTAGGAGGTGAGGTACGATCCCCTGAAATACGGTCCCCAAGTCAAGTTAGTCCAGTCGCCAAAGAGAAGTTCGCATTCTCGGAATCGGACAAGGACAAGAACCTTGTGATGGATGGAATTCCATTTACCGGTGGAAACTTCTTTACTGGCCGCAACTCAATGCCAATTGTGACGGATGCAATGCCCGAGCACTACGTGCCAGGTATTAGCAGCCCAGCACTTGCGCGTTCCACGCCTAGTGCAGCCACTCTGTTTGGCATACCAAGCGGATTTCATGGGAAAAGTGATGCGGCAGCCGTGCGTGATCGACAGCTACGCGAACTCTTGGAGGATCGCGGGATGTTGGGATCGAAGTCCACAGCATCTGCCAGCTCCTCAAGACCTGTTGGTGTCGACGGCATCACCGCATCTACGAAGGGCAACGACCTCATTGGTCCCCCTATTGCCTATGACGATTCCATTCATGAAGCAAGGAGACGTCAGATCGAGAAAGAGGTCGCGGAACGGTACGAGGAGAAGATTGCCGATCTGCGAAGCGAAGTACTCAAGGCCCAGAAAGCCGAACAGCGTCTCAGAGCTGATCGTGATGAGTGGAGATTATTCGCTGAAACGATTCAGGAGGATAATGGAGACGATGACGGTGACGAAGCTGGCGACGAGAATGAAGAGGGAGAGCATGATGAAGGAACCGGCACGGGGTATGACCCTCCAGACCCGCCTGATGATGATGATGATAAGAAGAGAAGCGGTGGAGGCAAACCTGAATCGGATCCTGGCTCTCATGCGCGTGATCCTGATGGAGACGCAGATCCTGAAGTCACGGAGGTGAGAATTTCCAGGAGGGAAGCCGACAAAGTGACCGTTCCTCCATGGCCTACTCTCACTCATCTCAACAACTGGCGATCCGTATGCACGGCGAATGTCTTAGGAGCATCAGCCGACCCAAATCATGAGGATTGGATGTTATGGCTGGCACCAGCGTTCAACCCATTCCCTGATGTCGAAGCACTGAACGATTCAGGACACAAGAAGTTCAAGAGCGTAGACGTCAAATTGGGGATCGCAATGGTCGCAATGCTACGCGCTGGTGGTGACAAATCTGCTGATCTGTACCTGGAGGTGAACCGGAAGGCCAACGATTACATCAGCAGGCCCGAAGGGAAGATCATCAAAGGACGACAAATCATTGCGATGATGTATGAAAGTTTTCGAACGCATGATCGTCTCGACATGATCATCACTCTCGAGTATCTGGTGAAGCTCCAGTACCAAGGCGACAACAAACTTCATACGTTCAAGCAGACGTGGTTGGAAGTTCTGGGACGGATGAGGCCAGAAGACATACCATCCAAAACAGCTCTCCGTGATTGCTTGTACAGCAAGATCAAGGACTCGCCCGCAATGAAGATGGAGTTGGGCATGCACTACGAACACTTGCCCTACAATCATGAAGACCGATCGTACGACAATCTGATGAAGATCATCGACCGTACCATCATGCGGAGACGAGAACAATCAAATCTCACTCAGACCCAAATTGGCTTGCGCCAGATGCTTGAGGGCAAGGATTTGCTTGCTGCACCGGCCAAGGTACCTGAGAAACCAACGCCTAACGCAGCTCCATCCGCAAAGGTCAAGGCTTCGCCGACCAAGCCGGATAAAGCAACACCTGTACTACCTCAAAGCAAAGCGAAGAGTCATGCGAAGACCAAGCCAAAGCCCAAGAAGAAGACGAGGAGTGAGTCAGCGGACAACAGAGGCGACAAGAGCAAGAAGCAAATCCGCTGCAAGTTCCATTTCACAGATGCAGGGTGTCGAAATGGTGACAAGTGCCCATTCAGTCACTCGAAGAAGACTCCAGAGCGACCCTTTACGCCGAGGACGAGAACTCCAAGCCCATCTGGAGGAGGAGGAAACAGGATATGCTACTCGTTCAAGAACACAGGCTCGTGCTCAAGAGAGGGTCCTTTCAAGCATGAGGCAGCAGCTACCCCAGCTCCGGAACCAAAGGCAAAAGCTAAAGCCAAATCCGAAGCAAAGGCAGCTCCAGCGAAGCCGAATGCCAAGGCCAAGGCGCTCCCTGCGGCGCCCGCCATCAGATTGTGCCGAAGGTGGAATCCATCAGCCCCGGCGATATGGAAGCGATCGTCAAGACAAGATGAGGAGGAGTCAGATTGTCCATCCGTTGACAGCGACGCTGATTCGGATTGTTCAACAGACGACGAATCCTCGGGACCGACTACGTCGACCCGAAAAGAGATCAAGCGTAATGTGACATTCGCCGATGACGTGAAGTTCATTTCTTCGTGTCCTAGAAGATCGAAGAAGGACAAAGAGCGGAAGGTGAAGTACGTCGACATGGAAGCGCTTGTCAACGATGAGGATCGCGCCGTGAATTTGGAATTCGCCAAGCACAAAGCGAGATTGAGGGCACAGATTATGAGAGACATGGTTGACGACGATGATGATCAATGCGGAGATCGAGTTTCATTCGTACGAATCCCAGGAACGTCTCGGGTGGAGGAAGTCTCCTTCTACGACGGTGAGGATTCCATCGTTGAGCGTGAACTCGATGCTGCGCACAGCAAGCGGATCATCAATCAAGGTGTATGCAAATGCATGGTTCAACCAGTCATCCTCAAGAAGAAGATCAAGTTTCTCATGGACACTGGGT